AACAACAAATGGGCTTAGCAAGAACAATCGATGGGAGGAAATGGGCAGGATTGACCCACAGGTCCTGCTCAATGTAATTAAAAGTAAATAGGCCCTTCATGCCGGTGACCCAGTGCATGGTGTTCCAAAGCATGGGAAGAAAAGGAACCACGACCTCCTGCCCGGTACTGTAGGTTGCATGATATGGGTGAAGTGTAAGTGAATTAGGCTTTATTATTGTATTATAGTAGACGATCTATTGATTGCTTTTTCATTGCTTTGCGCTATATGAATTGCTTTAGAATTTATAGTATTTAAGGTTTAAATTGTATAGTAATTGTTTTTAAGGCTTGTAAAACTTAACTGTATTAACTCCTTAAAGTTTGCAATAACTAAGAAAGTGGTTAAGTATCCCAAGAGTATCCTGGTTCCCTTGGATCCAAAATAAATCGAACTACACAACAGTGCATCTCTGCAGCATACAACATGGACTAGTGCAGATCACATACTGGGATTTGAGAATTTTGCCCATTAAAACACTAAAGCGGGTATTTTAGCTGAGAGGGCACAGACATGTGAAAATAAGACATGGCAATAAGAGCATCAAGCAAAAAAAAAAAAAATTAGATTCCTGCACAAAAGCCCTAAGTGTTGCACACACTATATACAAGACTTCATGCACAAGATCACCAGGGGAAATAAAGAGACCAGAGAATGTGCCTGTTGTTAAAAGCTTTCCTTTTTCCCATTCACTCCTACCTGCATCGTATTCAAGCAGTTACACTTCCCCTTTCTCCCACAACATTCCTGTCTCAAAGCTGTAAACATTCAAAATGAGCAGCCTTCTCAAGAGATCATACAGACATCTGAAATCCAACAGAAGTATTTTTGTTCTGCTTTCCTATTCGTATCTGATTATCATCTACTTTGATACAGCTAAGGCTATCAAGGGGGAAACAGTATGCCCAAAAAATACTAATTATGGGCCTAATTGTGCAGCACTTATTAACAAGTGCAGTCCCACTGTGGGCAACAGAAATAGGCCCCCATTCAAAGAGCTCATGGATCAGGCCCTAAAATGGGCTGGAATTTGAATTCCTCCTGAACATTGAAGTGCCACAGGCAGATAAGAGGGAGAGAATCAGGCCTGTGAAGTTTCACATGTCTTATCAGCATTAAATTATTTTTAAAACATCCAAAAATGCCAAGTAATAACACAGATATGTCAGCCTGAATCTCTGTCTGGACTGATATTTCCATGAAACTAACATCATTGTAGACATACCTATGTTCCCAAACTAACACCATCAGAAGCAGGTGAGGCAGACAGTTTGCAATCAGTGTTAAATTTACCACACCAACCACTCTTTTCCCAGACTCAAAAGGGTGACTCATGAGAATGCTGTGAATTCCCCAGGGTTTATCTTGCTCAACCAGTTTTCATTTAACTGGGTTGTTAGGTCACCCTCAAATTCCACGGAACAATGAAGGGAAAAAACCCTCAGAAATGGGTGTGGTTTCAGTAGCAGAAAGAAAGTTCTTTGTTTCCTTTATGTGCAGTTAAAAAAATATATATTTGAATATCCCAACCAAATTCTGAGAAAAAGCCTCATTGCATGGTCAAGAGAAAAATTCAAGGATTTTCTTCATTCCAGGCTAGGCTGCAAAGTCATTCATTGCCCTTCCTTTGTTCTCAGAAAGTGTCTCTCTTTTAAAAGTTATGCGCTTTTAAAACACCAATCCATTACCCCAGCTGCACCTTTAGCAGCACAGAAGGTTTATTGTTTTCATGACAGTAAGGTTAATGAAAGGCAGGGGGGGGGGGGAGCATTTGCTATGCTGCTCTATAATTTATGGATTAGGAGCTAACAGTTTAATCTTCTAATTGTTCCACCATTTCAGCAGTTGCTTCCAAAGGAAGTATCTGCTCTATGCAGCTATTCAGGTTAAACAGTAACCTTGGTGGATTCCTTAGGGCTTTGAAGACAAATAAAGTTGCTTCCCATCACCTCAAAACTTGCCAACTGAATCTCCTCTCTGAATCCATCATTGTGTCCAATACAGACAAGCTGGTTGTTAGCATGATTTCAAATGTCTCTCTCTGTACACAGAGAAAAAACTAAGTCTCTAATGGGAAGGGCTTGTCTCCTTTTACTGGGAAATCACTCCAGCAGAGATTGATTTCCCAGGGTTCAACTTAGTCGATTTAGTAAAGACCTGATAAATCAACCACTAATTATGCCCCTTGATTCTGGTACTCCACCGGGTTGTAAGGAGTAAGGGAAGTCAACCTCCCACTCTGGGGATGTCCCAGTAAGTCAAGCTAATATTTTATTCATGTAGGTGGAATTTCATACGTGAGTTCAACTTCCTTCCGTAGCATAAACTTGGCCTAAGAATATTTATGGTGAGGGAATAACTGTTAAAGATTTCTTGACCTTTTCAGCTTTGATAGAAATGTGTGGCCCATTCACAACCAACTTCTCCAGTCATTCGCCACATGAAAAACAAACAAACAAACAAAAACCCCTCCTCTCCTGACATTTATTATTAGAAGATATACCCGGTGTTGCTTGGGTACTTCAGGGCAGAGGCTCGGTGTGTGTGTGGGGGGGGGGGGTGCAGGAGTCAATGCAGGGGTTTGGAGATGTGGGGGGCTCATGGTAGGGGGCTGAAGGTGTGAGGGGAGCAGGATTCAGGATTTGGAGAATGAGAAGGGGCTCAGGATGTGCAGGATTCAGGGTTAGGGGATAAGGAACAGCTCAGGGCAGAGGGTGGGGTGCATGAGTCAGGAAAGGAGGTTGTGAGGCGGGGAGGCCCAGGAGAGATGGGGCTAATGACAGACGCAAGGGCAACTGTCAGCTGGTCCTTGAGGCCAACCCAGGGTGGTGAGCGAAAATATCTTTGCTACAGCCTGCTTATCAGCTGCTTCCTGGCGCTGGGGTGCTTGCTGTCCCCCTGTGGTCATTCAAGAATATAACTGTCTGTGCTATCACAACCCTCCCTTCTGTCTGATGAGAAACATGGCATTTCTGGCACAACCCAGCCCTCACCTTGCTTTAAGCTATGATAAGGGGAAGCTGCATAGCAAATGTGGTGATCCTAGCTCTTACTGTTTTAGGAGGCGTTCTTGAACAAACAGACTCACAGACAGACACACAGATGCACAAACTCTCTCAAATCTATAGCAGATTTATGTAGGCAGATCAAAGAGCCTTCTCACCAGGCCCAATTGCTACAGAAAGCATTTTGGAGCACAAACAATGGCAAACAAAGCCTGAAAATAGCTTCCAATGTGGCTGGAAAGGATCCAGGTAGATTCAGATTCTTCAGAACTCTGAATCTATTCCAAAAACATTGGCTTTTCTCTTCCTCTTCCTCCCCCACTTTTTAGACACAAATACACACAGCCTCCTCTGCCTACCTTTGTAATACTTCACTGACCTCATGTTGCTGTTTTAGAACATTTTCCAGCCACCAAGCAAGGCAGAAATTATTATACTGATGTCCACTAGCTTAAAACATTGTAAGAGGGCTTCTACTTGATATAAGGGAGAAATCTGACCGTCCACCCCAGCTGGGTCGGACAAAAGAAAAGGTACATTAGAGCCAGGCTATATTCCAGTTTAATAAACTCGATCTGTTCCTCCCACCCGGAAAGGTTGCCAATCCTCCAGGATTGTCCTGGAGTAGGGATGTTAAATTTAGTTTAATCAATAAGCGGGGGAGCTGCAGCAGGGTTAGCTCCCAGCCCGAGGAGCTAACCTCTTTGCAGCTCTGCCTTTTAAACGTATTAAGAGCTGGCAGGCCAGCTGATTTCCCACTCAGGCAAGGTCCCCCCACTGCGCACCAGCCTTTTAAATGTATTAAGAGCCTGCCAATACTGGCTGCTGGCCCCGCCCCCAGGGACTATAGAATAGAAGACCAACCAATAAGATTTCATGAGGTTACTCAGCTATTCATTTAACCGATATTTAACATCCCTGGTAGGGACCCAGTGGGGGAGGAGAGGGGGGAACCAGCACGAGCCGGGACAGCGGATTCCCACAGCTTGTGCTGTGCTTCTGATTTTTAAATGTATTAAGCACTGGCAGGCTCTTAATACATTTAAAAAGCAGAGGTGTTGCATCTGGGACTGGGCGCGAGCCAGGAATTAGCGGATTCCCAGCTCGCGCCTGGTCCGCCTGCCCCCCTACCTTCCCTGGCTCCTGCAAAGACAGTGTTGAGGTAAACCGGCTTTTAAGCTGGCTGCCCTGCCCACTTGCTGCCTCTGATAGGGGCAGCAAGGGGTGGAGCAGCTAGTCACTTACATCCCTATCCTAGAGTCAGTGAGAATTGGAACCAATCTCCCAGTAACTACTAAAAGCAAACTGGGAGATTTTAATGAGATAAAGAAAATGGTATTATGGCATGCTCGGAAAAACTCCCAGAATAGCTTGAATCAGAGTTGGCAACCGTCCCCTGGATATCAGTATTTGCCCCCAGATCAGACCTAGCAACTGAACTAGAGCAAACCAGAGTAGGCCAGGATCTCAATAATTCAGGAGGAAATAATGGTTGCAGTGATAAACAAACAAGTCTGGGTTGGTGCACTTTCCCCTTTCCTAAGTGATCTGATATGAAGACATTAAGGCGTGGTCTATACCCTGATAGTCTATTGTCCTGGCAGATCCAGCTAAAGCAAGAGATTGAATGTTTCAACAGTGAATCATGCAGCTTTGGCTGTTTGGCAGAGCTGTTGCAGGACTCAGGAAGTAGGTTAGAACTCAGTGTGGACCCATCTATGCTGCAATATTAAACTATATTTAACAGTGTTAGGCTATTATTGCAAGGACCCTAACCCCTAATGCTCAGCCTACAGTCCTTCCATACTACAGCTATAGCTTAATAGAGCTGGGATCATCATAAAAACTCAACCTGTACTGGGGGGGGGAAGGGAGAGTTTTGCCCCTTTTTTGCTTCTTACAAAGATAAAAACCACAGAGCTGGGAAGGTGACTAAGCAGTTAAGAGGCCACTCACCTGACTGATCCATAATCAGGAGGATGCTGATATCTCATCATAGGCCCATCGGATCGACTCTGCTGGCTCATGCGATGATCACTATAGAAATGCCCAGGGTCCTGAGGTTTGCAGTTCATGGGTGGGGTGGACATGTTTTTGAAAGGATACTCTGGCGGAGGGCCCCGGTGCTCTATCACTTTCAGATTTGGCTGGGGCGGCGTGGGCACTGAGTTTTTATAGAAATCATTGGAACTCGAGTTTTTGTACAGGTCATTTGGCTGCGGGGGGGAAAGTGGCGCACTGGTGACGGGCGCATGGGCTTTGACGCCGCTAGTGGCCAATGACAGCTGCATCAGCCTCTCACTGAGAGAGCGAACGTGTCCTTGCTTGAGGTCCTTAAGTCCTTCATCCTGATGGACTTTCCCAGGGTTCACTCGCTGAACCGTAGGCCGCCCTTCAGTCCTCATCTTTTGATTGGTTACTCCCGTCACATAAAATGCTGCCCCAACGCTAGCATGCTGCTGGCCCCGGAAATACTGTGACTGGACTTTAGCTTCTTCGTACGTTGGGAGGTCTTCACTGTTCTGAAGTCTTGGAGAGAGCTGCTTTTCCATGATGCTATTGTCCACTTGAATCTCCTGGCCCTGGGGCTCTTGGCGGGCAGCATGAGTCACAAGCTGATGGTCCTGGGTGCTCAGCCCTTCGTTCTGAGACCCTGGACTCCCACTGCTGTTGAAAGGGGGTGCATTCCCTGTGGCTTGTTGATGTAAAGCAAGGAGGTTGCGGTTGTCATTTGGGTTTCCGTATCTGAGCTGCTCCTGCAGCAGACGCTGTAGAACTGTCGTAGCTGTTTGCTCTTCTGAATTCCTCATCTCAAACTGTGGTTCCTTTGGGGTGGAATGCAAAAGCTGCCCTAGACCTAAGGGGAGGAGATATGGTTAGTAGTTCTTTAGTGGATCAAGGAAGGGACAATTTAGGAGCAATGGTTTGAAACTGAAAAAAAAAAACTATAAAACAGATTAAAAGGGATTTCTTAACAATAAGGATCATTAAGGCCATCAGACACCTGTGTGATAACGTGGCGAAGCCTCCAGTGACTGAAGGTAACCAGGCTGTGGACTGAATGACCCAAACAGGAAGGCTTTTCATGATCTATAATTCACAACATGGTGGTAAAAATGTCCAAGCCCTGTCCACAGTATACTAATTCCTGCCAATGGTAAATTACATGGCAGAAATGGGAATCATAATCAAGGACCAAGAAGAAAATAATTGGTTAAATTTAAGGAAAAAACAAGATATATATACTTAAGAGTGAAAAAGGAGAATCCCCATCACTTAGGTAATTTACAGTAAACAAATGAACATCTGACTAGATAATTGTTATAGGTTTGGGGGCAGAATTGTAAAGCCCAGTTTCCCTTTTTTACCCACTAAATATTGGTTTATGTGATTTTACTTAAACATCTAAACTCCTGACACACAAGCATAATAAAGTAGTTAGATGCCTAAATGACATCAGTTGTAACCACACAACTATGGAGGGGAGGGAAAGGGTCATCAGACTGAGGTCTACAAAATACAGACTCTGAGTACGAGTCTGAAATTGAAAGGAAAAACATAACGAGTGTCACTTAAACTCATAGATCAATAACAAATACATACTAAATAGGAGCTTGATGGTCAGTGAGCCAAAGTGGTGATACAGGGGACAAAGCCACTAAATCTCCCGTCAGAGTTGCAAGTATTCAACTATTCTGAAAAATAAACCTAATACGCCCCAGACTGGGCATGCAAGACTTGATGCACTCCAAATCCAGGGTCATTTTTGAAAATGTGAGCAAAAAGTTGCTTGCCCCAAGTGCCACAGTCTGTGACAGAGCCAGGGATAGAAATAAGGTCTCCGGATTCTTATGAAGTCTCTTTATTCTGTGTCTTAACTCCTATTCTGTCATGACAGCTTACAGACGACATTTATATATATATATATATATATATATACACATATACACACACACACACACACACACACACTGTATACATTATATACTGTATATAAAGTGTTCTTAACCCTTTTTATTGTACATACTGTATACTGCATACTGTAATGTTTTACTTTTTTTAAGCCTTTTTTACCCTTTTTGCTCAGTTCAGCTGCTGCTGCTGTTACCTTATGACTCATTTTTTGCTGAAGCTCACTCACTATGCTCTTGCCATTTTGATGCCGGACTATCAGGAGTGCTGGACTATTGGATGCCGGACTATTGGAGTTTTACTGGACTGTCAAGAGAGAAGTTTCTAGAGAGAAAATCAGAACATGCCCTATTCCATAAAAAATTTAGATACCAACACATGCACTGGAATGATACTCCTTTGAAATCATATCTTCTATGGCTTGTATTTTATTTCTGTCACTTTGACTTCCTCAGCCAGGTGTAGCGGGGGGGGGGGGAGACACCTGGCCTTCCTCCTGAAGGTCCAAAATCTCCACTCAGAAATGGTTTCAGTCCTTTCAGTAATTGGGCTCACTTGAGGCTCTCTTCAATCCTCCCCAAAAAATCTGAAAAAGAGAGAACATTTTAACTAGCAGTGAGGACACCAGGAGTTACAAAACTTGATCAATATGCCATGCTCCCCAACCCTTCACCTACTTTCAACTTCTCCTGAACCTATGAATTTTGGTTCCCTTGAGATGAACAAATCCTATTAACACCCAACCCCAGACACTTCTTAATCATTAGTTTTTCTGCTTTGAGAACAACTGTCATCTAATTATGCTCTCTCTTTTTTGTGCCTCCAAGAAAAGTGGTGATAAAAATTCCCTAATTATTTAAATCCACTGGTTTCCTTTTTGGTAGGAATGAAAGCTACACTGCTGAAGATGCCTTATTGGCTGTCTTTCAGTTGTACTGTATAAATACGTCAATAATAAATATATTACCTTGCATTAGAAGTTCTCAAAGCACTTTACAAACATTAACGAATTAGGCATCATAACATCCCTATGAGGCAAGTTAAGAATTATCCCAATTTTTAGATGGGAAAAATGAGGAACAGTTGCCATAGACGTATAAGGCAGAATCCAGAGCTACCTCCCAAATCCTGGTCTTTAGCATCATCCTTTGCCTTTTAGGATGAAAGGCAATTAAAATATTTTAATATCTTTGGGTATGTCTACACTACCCCGCTAGTTCGAACTAGCGGGGTAATGTAGGCATACTGCACTTGCAAATGAAGCCCGGGATTTGAATTTCCCGGGCTTCATTTGCATAAACCGGGCGCCGCCATTTTTAAATCCCGGCTAGTTCGAACCCCGTGCCGCGCGGCTACACGCGGCACGGAGTAGCTAGTTCGGATTAGGAAACCTA